TGTTAGTGGATTTTTGAAATCATAAGAGCAACAGAGTTACAGAGAGTAAAACAACACAGATCTGCCAACTCAACTTCCCAGCGGGATAGAAACAGAGCCATGTAATACAGAGTTTTAAGAGTTTATAGTCTGATGTCTCCAAATATTGGCTTGACTATAGTCAGAATACACAAACAATTTTGATGTGTAACATTATACAAACCATTATTGTCTCTCTGATGTCCTTGGATTAATGCCACTTTTGCTTTGGTTTTGGTTTAACTGCCATACAAACCTTTAATGGAAAAAGCCTTTTCAAGACCATTTAAACTGGGAGAAGATGTGGCCCTAAAGCACATGAAAAGAATTTAACATCAATAGTCATTAGGGAAATACAAATTAAAAGTGAGATGCCATTTTATGTCTGTTAGAATGACAATAATTAAAAAGGACAGATAACACCAAGTGCCGGTGAGGATGTGGTGACCAGGGGAACCTCGTGTACCGCTGGAGGGAAAATAACATGATGCAGTCAGCTTGGGAAGTGATTTGGTGATTTGTTAAGAAACTAATTCACCATTTGACCCAGCTTCACTTACAATCATCTACCCAAGAAGAATGAGAACAAAGCCCATGTGGTTATCTGTATGTCAATCAATGCTCATAGCAACATTGTTCCCAGTGACCCCCATGTCAACAGGAATGGAATGCTGGTACACCAGGCATGCTGAACCTCCGTGGAATCCTGTAAGAAGACAGAAGCAGCCGAGCGTGCACGCCTTTAATCCCAGCACTTGGGAGGCAGAGGTAGGTGGATCTCTGTGAGTTCGAGATCAGCCTGGTCTATCAAGCGAGTTCTAGGACAGCCTCCAAAACAATACAGAGAAACCCTGTCTCGAAAAACCAAAAGAAAAAAAAAAAAGAGACAGAAGCAATCAACATGCTCCATGACTCCATTTATATAAGATGTTCAGAAGGCAAAAATTGAAAGATGGACCACTAGGTTGATGGAATTTTCAGGATGATAAAAATGGCCTGAAACTGTGGGGAAGAGCAGTGAAGAGGGCACAACTAGTAAAATTCCTGTCACATAAGCATGAGGACCTGAGCTTGGATCCCAGCGCTCTTAGAAGCCAGGTGTGGTTTGCATGAGTGGATTCCTGGAGATTGGTGGTCAGCCAGTAATTCAGGGTCATTGAGAGACTCTATCTCAAAAAGCAAGATGGAGAACTAGAAGATATCTGATGTCAATCTCTGGCCTCCACATGCACACAAACACATTCATGCACATATACATATATGTGCACATACACATTATACTATATACAAGAGTTCCAAAACCAGTTGGCAATGCAACTCTATACATTAAAAAAACACTTTAAGGAATTGTACAAGGAGAATAAATTGCTTTGAAAAACTCTTGGCATCATATTTTAAGAACAGGGAAATTTGGAATCTAATACTGCCAAATTTAAAGCATTTGTCAAACTGATTGATGGTTCAGACTATAAAGATTTTTGCCCACCTTATCATCTTGATTTGTGCCTTTGTAAAAGGACAAGTTTAAAACTCTCACATATTGGGAAGGCATCAAACAAAATAAAATTGAATGAGCAGTATATATTTTTAAGCAAAAAGGATGAAACACAAGTGGGTTGGCCTTCTGCGTGGCTTTCACGTTAATATGCTGCCACCTAGTGATTATTTATAAAATGACAGGACTTTTGTTTTATTTGGTCTTAACTTTGTTAAGCTATCTGCATGCTTGCAGCAAATACCCAAATGTTTGATGAAACACCGGTGAAATATCTGAGTCACTGAATGACTCTGAAAATTTGAAATGTTTAAATTTTAGTTTAGCACCATAATCATTGTGTGTGTGTGTGTGTGTGTGTGTGTGTGTGTGTGTGTGTGTGTGAGAGAGAGAGAGAGAGAGAGAGAGAGAGAGAGAGAGAGAGAGAGAGAGAGAGAAGACCCTAGTCATTCATTTTGAGACAAGGTCTTGCTGTATAATTCAGGCTAGCCTGGCACTCTCTGCGTGGCCCAGACTTGCCTTGAACTCAAGGCAATCCTCCTTCTTTATGCTGGGATTACAGGGATGAGCCACCAGACCTGGCTATCCTAAGTCTTTAAAACTGGCAGTAAAGATTATGTATTGCTAAATGTAATCATTTGATAAAAGCCCTTATCTTATAAGGAACCTGGTGCCTTGGAGAAAGCTGAGATTTGACAAGCTCCCTTCTCAGAATGCTGCAGGAGGAATGAGGTACTCAGCCTACCACAGTCTAGAGCTTCAGAAAACCAGGTGTTGGGTGGTATTCAGTGACTCAGTACTTAGCGTGCTCCAGGCCTCCCAGAACTGCTTTCTTACCCCCGCCCCACAAAACAGGAAACTGACAGCTGGCTGGAAAACCACATTAGAGCACATATTTAATAAACAAGGCTTGAGGAACTAGTAGAATCTGACAAATGACATGACATTTTAAATTGCTGAATATTTTTAAATGATGCTGACAGGAATATCTTGGGGTTTTGGCTGGTCCTCTCATCTCCAGTATCTAACGACTGCCCAATAAGTTTAACATATGTTAGGCAGCATAGTGCTGGGCAGATTTGTTTTCATTTCCTCAGGAACTAAAATGCATGTATCACCCTGGATCAACACCATCTGAAATGAAAGGGTTTCTACTACCCAGTTCTTCAACCCCTAGGCTATTTCCTAAGGATGTTAACATGGCTGCCATTTACTTTCACATGGAAGGTTCTGGCACCACTTACACATTTTAAAAAACAGTTTTCTTGAGACCTAGTTTAGATCTTATTTGAAAGGTACAATTCTAAGCCAAGCATGTGGATGCAGGTCTACAAACTCATCACTCAGGAAGCTAAGGCAGGAGGATTGTGTATTGGAAGCCAAACTGGGAAACATATCCAGTTCTAGACCTGGTTGAGCTAGTCCTAAGACACTCTCAAAATAAATAAATAGCTGTGTTTAGTTTTAGTGCAGTTGTTGTCACAATCCAGCTACAGAATAATTTCAACATAAACTTTGGTGTTTGGGTCAGCCCCATACTTTAGTTTATTAGATTGTTAACCCATTCATTTAAAACATCTAGATTTAGGATCTACTCCAAGCATTCATTCTAAGGACACCAAGCTACCAGGAAAACCAGAACTTACACTCAACTCAAAATAGAGATTTACAAAGCTCATTTTTCAAGGTCTCTACAGGTTTTTAGGCTAAGACTACATATGAAATATACATACACAAAACCTGTATCTGCTTGGTTGTCTAAACATTTTGATTTAGCAGATCCTAAATTTACAGAAGATAGTCTCCCTTCCTGTAAGTTTTCTGTATCCATTTTTTGCTGAGTTGGACCTCTGTGGATGGGCAGCTGCAGAGGAAAAGATTCTTCTGGAATGCCACATCTGAGACCCGAACTTTGTCTTGTTTCAAAATTATATTGTACAAGAAAGACTCACCATGGTCCTCTTTCCACAAACCAAGCATTTATGGTCTCCATCTCCTCACACAGTGTCTATTTCACACGCACATACAGATCTTCAAACTGCAATCTAGAGACATAGCAAATGCCCCACCTATTTGTAAGATTTCACTGGGGAACTGTGGCTACACTGAATGCACTTGGGAATCCTTGTCTTCCCCAGCTCTCCAGAACTTGCTGCTGGCTCCATTCATCTTGACATTTAAATACTCTTTTATATGTAAGTAAGCACTAGGTTTAGGCTAGTTCAGTCTCCTCCATTCAGTAAGCCCCTTGTGGTTAGAATAACTGTTTTAAATGTGTGCATTAAGTGAGCTTTGTATTTCTCAAACACCTACTCTTCTTGGGGTACCAAAAGAGCTATTTAGGAAGAACTGCTTAATTCACAAATGACACCTCCGGTCTCTCTTCCCTCCTCTGGACTCCTAAAATCTTACATTCTCCATATAGCCCAGACTTCTTAGACACTGCAGCTTTTCCATCCTCACAGCAATTGCGTGTGCCACTCTGTATGGCTGGGACATAAATATGAAGCCATCTCTATTGCAACCAAGCTCCGACAGTCATTTCTCCCCTTCTGTTCACTAATAGAATCGATTACAATTTCTAAAATTTTATTTATTTTTAATTCTGTGTATGGGTCTCTGGGTGTGCACAAGTTAAGTGTGAAGTCCCTGGAGACCTGGAGCTGGCTGTGAGTGACCGGAAGTAGGTGCTAGGAACCAAACTCTGCAAGCACTCTTAACTTCTGAGCCGTGTCTCTAGCTCATGGATTACAGTTTCAAATTCAATATTCTTTCAACGTCACTCTCGACTTTTAAAACTACAAATAAAAAATAAGTTCAAAAGGTTTGACCATGCAAAATACACAAAGTAAAATTGGTCTGCAGGCGAGGTCCGGTATTTTCCTCCGGTTTTTCTCTCGGACCGGAGGCTTGCAAACTAGGTGGCCTTAAGAACTTCACCAACACTGCGAGGTCACAGAGCTGAGCCTCGAACTGAGATCCTTGCAGCTGTTCTGAGGTCGCACACTCAGGCCTCTTCGACGTTGGGTGACTTTGAGGGGAGGACGCCACACTCATTTAAAGGCTGTCCCGGTCCCCAAGGAAGCCAACTCTATTCCAGACAATACAATATATTCCCGCAGTTTTAAGGGACTCTCCTGCCAATCGGCCGTCTCAAACTTGTGTCTCTGCACACAGCGGCTGCTTCCCGAGCAAGCGAACGAACGGCTCTGGCTCCCCCGGGTGCCTCAGGAGTCGCTCAGGCTCAACCTCACTAAGCATTGCCTTCTCCCGGGTTCAGCCTCCCTTGCCCTTGCTTTCTCCAAGGCCCAGGAACCTGCCCGTATCCTCCCTCGACCCCGGCCACGCCCCGTCACTCCAAGTTTGATTTCGGCGCGCCCAGCCTGAGGGCGGCGGTAATTGGTTAAGGTGAAGGAACCTCCCATATGATTGGTTCTCCGGATCCGATGGGCGGAGCGTTGTGGGGGCGGGGTCAAGGACGGAAACCCGGCGTGCCCGGGGCGCTTCCAGTTAGCGTCATGGAAGTTGTTAAATGTCCGAAGCACGGTAGGGCTCCGAGTCTCGAGATTTCCCTCACCGGGCCTGTGGGACTGGCCTGGGGTGGCCGTTGCTGACCTTCTTGTCTTCTCAGGGACTGTCTGCTTCTTAAAGACCGGCGTCCGCGATGGCCCGAATAAGGGAAAGAGCTTCTACGTGTGCCAGACGAACACATGCGGCTTCGTGCAGGCCACCGAGTAAGTCTCGAGACCGGCGCCCATTCCACAGAGTGACCCAGCCTGGTCCCTTACGTGTCTGGGTCGCGGGTTCCCCCTGTATGTAGATCCTTCCAGGCTCAACTTAAAGTTTCTAGTCACCTGCCTGGCCTTACTTAGCCTTTCCCCTCTGCCCCAGCATCCTTTGCGCTTCCTCTAGAAAGTGAAGACAAACAGCGGACGTGGGAATTACTAATTCTCTAGTTTTGCACCAATTTTAGGTCTCCCCTTTTAATGCTTGAGGTTTAAAACATTAGGAGTTAGATACCTGCTGTTTTCCTGAATCAAGTGGTGGGTGTGAGGTTAATAATCAGTTTCTTTAGGGAGTACTTCTCCAGAGAGATCCAGTTTGTTTAGGAAGTAGCGCTGAAAGAAACTTCAGAGATCCATGCGCAGCTCGGGTTCTGTGGACCTGAAGGCTTAAGACCTGGAAACGTCAAGCTTCTTCAAAGTGAGGAAAGCTAATACTGCTCTCAAGTGTGACAATCTTATATATCAATTGTCTGCATTGTCTAAGTGGAATTAAACAGCGGCATCATTTAACATTTTTTCCCACTCTCTTGTCTGCTGAACTTTGTAGAGCAAAGTTATTTTCTTCAGTATCATAACTTTGTAATGGATATTAGTCCTAGAATGAGTTGTATGATTTGTGTCTTCATTTTGCATCAGGGTTTACTATTTATTCCTAGTTTCTAAATATATTGAGGTTTGGTCCCCTGCTCCAATGTTGTGAGTCACAAGCATGCTCATGTTTATAGGAAATAAGCATCAATATCAGGTTTGGTTCAACATTAAGAGGAATATTCTTGGTGATTGGGGAGATGGCTCAGCACCCACATAGGGGCTCATAAATTTCAGTTCCAGGGGAATCTCACGCCCTCTTCTGGCCTCTGCAGAACCTGTACTTGGTTTACAGACATACATGCAGACAAAATACCCCTAAACATAAAATAATAAAAAAAAAGTCCTCTAAAAAGAGAGTTAGCATTCCTTTTTTTTTTCTTCCAGAGACAGAGTTTCTCTGTGTAGCCTTGGTTGTCCTGGAACTTGCTTTGTAGATCAGGCTGGTCTCTGACTCACAAAGATCCTCCTGCCTCTGCCTCCTAAGTGCTGGGATTAAGAGTGTTCCCCACCACCGCCTGATGGCAGTTACATTCTTTTTTTTTTTTTTTTTTTTTTTGGTTTTACGAGACAGGGTTTCTCTGTATTGTTTTGGAGGTTGTCAGTCCATCCCGGCCTCAAACTCACAGAGATCCGCCTGCCTCTGCCTCCCGAGTGCTGGGATTAAGGGCGTTCACCACCACCACCTGATGGGAGTTAACATTCTTAGATGGATTGTCACTTACTTGAGTGCACTGCAATATAAACTAGTACAGTACGTTGACTTGAGGCTTGAGGTGTGTCTAATGGCAGACTGCAGGCTGGAAACAGTTTTACAAGTCACAGGACAATGCTTTAGACCTTGTCTAAAACCTGTTCAGTCTCGGTGTTGCACATATGTTTCTTTTGTAAGCTAGGAGGAACATTAAAAAATATGCCAAGCAAGAAGCAAGTTAGTAAATTATTGTTAGAGGTAGGTACATGAGTAGCAGGAGGTGACAGCTAATTGGTTTATTAATGGATAAAGGGTAATGGGAACCTGAGGAGAATTCACAATGAGTCCACCTTATAGCCAATCTTAGACTACAAGTCATTCCTGGGAGTATTGCAGTGTAGACATCATATAACAGGCAGTTTTAAACTCCTAAGTCATGAAGAAAAACATAATTGTTGCCATGGTTTATTTTAGGAAGTAGAAAAAGAGAAACTCTGGATCCTTTCCTTTGGAAGCCACTTGGATAATGACGTATGGGATTTACAAGCCACACGTAAATTCTTAGTGTAAAGATGTGTAGTTATTGTGTCAGTGGTGGCACATGCTTGTGATCCTAGGACTCTGAGAGGCAGAGGAAGGATTGCTGCAAGTTTGAGGCCAGACTGGTCTCTGTAGCAAGTTCCAGGACAGACTTGTCTCCAAATAGATCAATAAAAAAAAAGAATTCAAGCTTGGATCTGACTTCAGACTGTTGGCTTCTATTCCTTGTCTCCTAAGAATATTTCCTATTTTTTCCCTTCTAGTATTCCTGTTTCTCATTGTTTATTGCATGAGGACTCCGTGGTAGAGCTTCAGGGCTTGTTTCTACCACAGGGCAAGAAAGAATGGAGGTGAGTGTCCATAAGGAGCATCTAGAAGCATTTTTTTTTTCTTTCTTCCTTTTTTTAGTCCTGAAAGGATTGCAGCTAGATATGTTTTTTATTGTTCTTTTGGTGTGTGTGTGGCGGGGGGTGGGGTGGGGGGGGTGGGGGGGTGAATTGAAACAGGGTTTCTCTGTGTAGCTCTGGCTGTTTTGGAACTCTGTAGACCAGTCTGGTCTCGAACTCACAGAGATCTGCCTGCCTCTGCCTCCTGAGTACTGGGATTAAAGGCCTGTGCCACCACTGCCTGGCTATTCTCTAAAAGTCATCACTGAGGAACAAACCATGTTTGCACATATTGAGCATCATCTACCTTGTCACTCCTTTAAGTCAGTGGTTCTCAGCGAGACCCCTTGGGGTGGCGGATGACTCTTTAGCAGGGGTCGCATATCAGATATTTACATTAGGATTCATAACAGTAGCAAACTTATAGTCACAATGTAGCAACCATAATTTTATGGTGATAGGTCATCACAACAAGAGGAACTGTATTGCAGCATTAGGGAGGTTGAGAACCACTGTGCTAAATGCTGAGCAACTAGTTATCCTGAGAAATAAGTGGTTAATTTCTGGATCACCAGCTCTGTTGTTATTCCTCCAGCTGTCCGATTGATAATAACATCAGCTCACTAACTTGTCAACTTTCAGTTCTGCTAATAGCATGCTAAGTACTCAATAAAGTGCCATTTCCCTTGGGAAGGGCAGGGAAGTTCATACAGAGGGGAAATATTATTTGTCATAAGTATTAAAAGGTAAGTAGGAACTTACCAGGTACATAATGTTCTTTTTAAAAAATTATATTGCATTAGGTTACCAAGGCAGGAAGTAACATGACCACTTCAGAGAACTGCAAATGTTTGGTTTGGTGGTTATTTATTCGGCTGGTTGGGATCAAACGCAGGGCATACTCCACCACCGCACTGTACCCCTAGCCTTAACTTAGGTGGAGACTTTAGGACCAAGGGTTGGCTGAGAAGTCAAGGTCATACATGATAGTTTTTGTGTAATAGTCTATGTCATTTAGAACTTATGTATTCTGAGTCTTTGTCCCCAGCCCAAGTACATTGAAATGCTTGGCATCCTTGTTTAAAAAAAAAAATCAATTGACCCTAGGTTTGGGTCAATGTCTGAAGTGGTTAATTTTTGTCCTTGGTTCATTTACATATTCTTGCATGTAAATGCATGTTAATTGATGGGGAATATAAAATAGTATGTCTTACAACCTCTTCAAGATTGTGCTGGCATTTGTAGGATCTTTGTATTTGCATATCAAATATAGATTCAGCTTCTAAAATTTCTACAGAAAACCCTGTTGAGGTTGCATAATTTTCACAGATCAGTTTTGAGAGAGCAGACATCAATATTGACTTTTCTAGTCTGTGAGCATGATGTAGTATGACTTCAAATTTTTCTCTCAGTGTTTTAAAATAATTTCCATTATAAAGTGCTCATTCTCATTTTACTGAATGTGTTCCTCTGATTGTTTTTAATCCTGTTGTAAATGGAATGTTTATTGTTGTTCTGTATGTGTGTGTGTGGGGGTATGTGTATGCTTGTATTTTGTGGGTGTGTGTTTGTACATCTGTGTGAATGTGTGTAGAGGCCAGAAGTTGATTATGTTGAGTGACTGTCTTGGTCACTTCTTCACTTTACTTACCAAGGCAGGGTCCTCACTGACCCTGAAGCTCACAAGTTCTGCAAGCCTACCTAGACAGTTTGTCCTGGGGACCCTCTGTCTCTGCTTCCTGAGTTCTGGAACTATGAGTAAGGCTGCCATACCCACCTGGACTTTGTGTGGGTCCTGGGGGTCAGAACTTCAGTTTTCACATTTGCATGGAAAGCACTTTATTCACTGAGCCATCTCCCGAGCCTGCAAATGTAATTTAAAACAATTGTTTTCTTTTAGTAGAGTGGGGCTGGCAAATCTATGTTAGGTGCAGTCTTGTTCTCCTGACACTTAAGATCACCTACCCCTTTGTACAAGAACACCTACCTCTATAAGTAGGGGAAGACAACCAATAGATTCCTAATTTGCATTAAAAGAACCATGGAGATTCAAAACTGAACACAGTGGAGGAAAAGGGCAGCTGAGAGAATAGCTGCCACCGAGTGGCAGCCCTGTGACACCTTGCTACCTTGGTCTTCCATGCCCATCTGTGATTGGTTGCAGTAGCTCTGTTTTACAGGTAGATGTAAGACTACTATTAGAGAGGTTAGGAAGGGAATCTGAGTTCCCATGATTGTGAAGTGGTATTTCAGGGGTCCGGCTACTTCCAGACACCGCCAATTGAAAGCTTGAATTGAGAAGGTGAAGCTGAGTCAGTTACTCAGAAAAAACTGCTTGAAAAGAATTGGAATGGCAAGATGTTTCCTGCTAGTGCAATTCAGTGTGCTGCTCTCTCCACTTTCTCATCTGGAATAGTGGTGATGATGATGGCCTTGGAAGTCCCTAGGTTGTGAAGAATCGGCTATGTGATGTAGTGCGTAGTTTACTAGTATCTTGTTTGTGTGGCAACTTCCTTTTTTAGAAGAAGTTTTGTGACTTCCCTTCTGGCACACACAATATCTGGTTGGTTTTTTTGTCCTTTTTTTCCCCTTTGGTTTTAGCAGCCATTGCTGATCACTTTTCCATTTCATTTGTTCTTCATACAGAATAAGAACAAACCTGTTCATACTCTCTGGTTATTGTATCATTTTTGTTCTTGTCTTTCTACCCCTTAAAAAATGTCTTCTGCGAGGGCTGGGGGGATGACTCAACTCAGTAGGTAACCTGCTAACTGCAAGCATAAGACCTGAATTCAGATCTCTGGATGTGGTCAGCCTGGGCTATGGTCACACACACACACACACACACACACACACACACACACACACACACACACACACACTCTCTTTCTAATTATGGGGTTGGAGAGATGATCAGTACTTGCTACTCTTGTACTCTTGTAGAAGACATGGATTCCATTCCCACTACCCATATCAGGCAGCTCACGACAGCTACAGGCTTGTAACTAGTTCCAGGGAATTCAGTGCTATCTTCTGGCCTCTATAGGTCCTACATGAATGTGCTACACATACATTCACATGCAGGCAAAATACTCATACACATGAAAAACAAATTAAAAACTTTTTAAACATTAAAAAGTAAACTATAACTCTCAAAGACTGTTTGTAGCCTTAATTATTTGTACTTTACACTCCGCTAGGTTGTTCTTCCGGTGTGCTAGAAGTAAGGCGGAGGGGAAGCGCTGGTGTGGAAATGTCCCGTGGCAGGTAGGAATTCCCCATCTGTTTTCTATACGCTGTGGGAAGCTGGTGTAGTGAGTCTCTTTGACAGAGAGCACCCCAAGTCCCTACGAACTGCTGGGGTCTGTCACACTGCCTTAAGAGAGCCCTGAAGAGCTGTGTGACTGCTAATTCAAAGTCACTTCAGTGGTCAACATGATGACATTTCCTTCCTGTTTCACGCAAATATTTTCCAGTGTCATAAAAGCAGTCAGTGTCCTCCTACTTAGGAAAAGGAGGCTAAATTTCCGTATTTTTATGGAATAGTATTTACTTGATTTTGACATAAGCTAAATGTAACTCTTAAGGTTCCTAGAATATGAGTGGAGGAGAGGCCCTGTTCATGTGCAGTACATGGGGACTAGACTGGGGAAGTGGTGACTCGTGTAAACAGTAGAGAAATACACATTGTGGCTCCAAAGGTGCTTTGGCTTAGTTTTCACTCTCCCTTGAGTCCTGGACAGAGAAGGAACAAGGCAGCGAAAGAAACAGATTTGTTGTGAATTTGCCATCTTTCTCTTTTAGATGCAGAAGTTATACTAGGCATGGGTTGTGTTTGCTGTGTTCCCATTTCCTCCAAAGAGGCATTTTAGATACAAGGGTGGCCTTACTTTATCTCACAGTGGACTATCTTCCTTGTCCATAGGATCCTAATTCTAAAGAACACTGTGTACCCAGCAAGCCTCCACAGGCATCTCAATTATTTCCTCATTCTCCCAGCCAGCCAAGAAACCCGTTTAAGGTGCTTAACAGTAATCCAAAAGCAACTCTCTGGAAACAGCTGGGCGTAGGAGAAGGTGAGGGAAAGACAGCTGATAAGCTGAGAGAAAGCAAAGACGAGCTCTTGGATCAAAAGAAAGAACAGAAGCCCAAGCCTGAGTGCAGGATGGAGAAAGATCCCTCCCCTGACCTGGTGACAGAAAGACAGTCTGGGGCTGAGGGGAAAGAACAAGAGAACACAAACTTTCAGCCCCAAACTGAGACGGAAGGAATGGCTTCCAAACAAGGCCATGGAGATACGCTCCGAGGAACTCCTGTGGTTCCTCAGATGTCAGAGAGTGGGAGTCGAGATGACCCAAACAAGGCAGAACCTCGGAGAGAAAAGGAAACCCAGCTTTTGCCTCAGAATGTTCCTGGCCAGAATCTAGAAAGCAAGGCCCAGAAAGAGCAACACGTCAGCAGGGAGCAGCTCAAGAATAGGGAGGCCCCCGGTGCACAGGCCTCCCAGGAAGGAGCTCCTCGGCTTTGCTTGGGAGAGATCCGCCATGCTGCCTTCAGCAGTGATGGCAGTGAGGAAGATGATGGTGTTTCCAGTAGGCCAGAGTCCCCACTTCTCTTTGACTTGACTGTGGACTCACAGAAGAGGGGGGACCTTCATCTTTCTGATCAGTGTATGCAAAGTAAGATACCTGCTGCTTCAAGTGTTTCCAAGAAGGGAGAGTCACCCGACTCAGCAGCCCAGCGTGCAAACCTGACAACACAGCTGAGGCAGAAGAAGGTGAGTGTTGGGCCTGCAGTGTAGATTGTTTTTGCAGAACCTGGGTTCAGTTCCCAGCATCATATCAGGTGGCTCAAAATTGCCTGTAGCCTCAGCTCCAGAGGATCTGATGCCCTCTTCTTACCTCCTTGGGTACCTGCACTTAGGTCTGCATGTTTATATACAGACACATACAAATACACATAATTGAAACTTTAAAAAAAAAGGGCAGGCCAGTCTTGACTTGTGCTTTGCCTCTAAAGCAGTGGTTCTCAACCTGTGGATCACGACCCTACTGGGGATTGAAGGATCCTTTTACAGTGGTTGCATAAGACCATCAGAAAACAGATATTTATATTAAGATTCATGCCAGTAGCAAAATTATTCGGGAAACAGCAATGGGAATATTATGTTGGGGTTACCATAACATGAGGAACTGCATTAAAGGGTCACAGCATTAGGAAGGTTGAGAACCATTGCTCTGAGGTTTGGGTTCTTATTCGCATCTGGGAGACCCTTACAGAATTGATTCCTGAGAGGGCTTTATAGGTGACTGTTTGATACCTGTCTTTCCTGTGTTTATACTTAGGCTTATTAAGCTAGTTGGGGTTTTGTTTTGTTTTTTAATCCTGGTTTTTACATTCATAATTAAAGCTCCTTTCAGAATTTTGGTATGCTAAGCCATTTTAATCTGAAGTTGTCCTTTAATGACTTGAGAAGCCAGTTCCGTTCAATAGGGTCTGTTTTTTAGGGCACATTGGCTGCGGTGAACATCCAGGCTCTCCCTGACAAGGGTGAGAAGTTGCTTAAGCAAATCCAGGCGTTGGAAGATGCACTCGGTGCTCTGGCTCTCTCCCCAGAGCAAGGTAAGATGGGGTTTCCCCCAGAACTCTGTGTTTGTGAACTTGACAGAGACATTTTGATAAAGATTGTATTCATTTTTTTCTGTTTTATTCTTCGCTTCTGAGTTTTCTTCCAATGGTGTCTATTGTTATTTATAAAAGCATTCCTGCTTCCTGTGGTCTAGCACAGCTGAAGTGAAGCCTCTTCTGACTGTATTCGCATTGCCTTTACTTGTTTCTCTCACTTTAATCCATTCTTCCCTTATGTGCTGAGCAGGAACTAAGGACAGCTGTAGCTCTCGGGAACCTCAGCAGACCAAGACTACCAAGACCGCTGCTGACCCTCCACACTTCTTGCCTCCCCAGCCCCTTCCCAGTCATCATGTCCAGCTGGCAGGCTCTCTAGGACTAAAGGCAGGCCGCCAAGGAACTTCTGAAGGATCCAGCCAGTGCTCAGGAGGTAAGACGAGCTGATGCTGTAGCTATGGGCTGCCCAGCAGGGGTATTTGCGCCCACTAGAAGGGAAGTCATTTTTGAATTCAAAGTTGCACATGTGTTTAAGACCTTGAGTCTTTGTAGAGCTGGGAACAGTTGTTTTAGGACCCTCTAGGGACTGGCTACTGCCAGAGATGGGCACATAGGCTAGTGTTGTGAGTGAAAATTAGCTTATTAGGAGGGAGATGGGCCAGCAGGTAACTTTTCAGAGCAGAAGGATGTGAGTGGTGACCAATGATCTTCAGACACATAGAAAGCAATCATACCTAGTTAGCTAAGTTCCCAGACAACTTTACAGGTCCCTGTAGTCTTGGGTTCTTTCTTTCTTTCTTTCTTTCTTTCTTTCTTTCTTTCTTTCTTTCTTTCTTTCTTTCTTTCTTTTTTTTTTTTGAAACAGGGTCTGTATCCCTGCCTGGCCTGGAACTTGCTGTATAGACCATGTTGGCCTTAACCTCAATGAGATCTTTCTGCCTCTGTCTCCTGAGTGCTGGGACTAAAGGTGTGCACCTCCACACCTGGCTCCCAGACAGAGTCTTCACTGTGCTGTCTGATGACTTGATTTGCCAAAGAGGAGCTTGGAGTTGAGGTGGGCTGGCAGAAATTGGGAAGTCAAAGGCAGTTCTCTCCCAATGGGAACAACTGGAGGTATAAACAATTGAAGAGCAGCATTGCTAGGGAGTGTCTAATAGATGGGGTGATATTTTAATTTAGGCCACTCTAAAAGGTCTTTGACAAAACACTTGGTCGCACAGCATAGCAGTCTTGAGTGCTCATTATTTGGAAGTCACCTGGAGAAACTTTAAATTATAGCAGGTTATCGAGGTAAAGAGCATGGGATAAGTCTTGGAAAAAATCCTAGTAAGACAGTTTTAAGACATTTTAAAACTTAAAGTTTCCCCTTGTCTAGATACCATGAAACCAGAACTGTGAACAGCTTGGGTAGCTCATCCTTGTGGGATGAGAGGGCAAACAGTGTAGTATGATTCATAGTCAGCTGGTGACCTGCACCTCACAGATGACTTCATGCGTGGCTTTTACTCTTGCTGGCTTTTCTTCTTTCAATCTAGAGACCTTTGCTTCCAGAATTACTGCACAACATGACATTTTTGTTCACTCCTTTTCAGAACTGAAAAATAAATGATCAAAAATCCTGAAGACTTGGCTAGAGATGTAACTTAGTAGCAATGCCTGCCTGTCTTGTTCAAGGCCTCGAGTTTGATCTTCAACTCTAGAAAAGAATTACAGATTGTTTTGTTCTAAATTATAGTTCGTGTGGTTAAGCAAACAGAGTGGAAGTAGAGAAGCTTGGGAGGTCAGTAGAACCTTGAGGTAGGAATTTTTACTTAATACAGATCCATCATTTGGCAAATAATTATATTTTTGAGGTTCTAGCGAGAATACAGTACTTGTCTTGCTGCTTTTTTGTTTGAGAGACAGAGTCTCCTGTATCCTAGTTTGTATAGTGCTGGGGATCAAATCAGCATATGCAAGGCAGGCACTCTGTCAACTGCACTGCATCCTCAGCCCTCAGGACGCGGCACTTGTGGCATCTTTGGGTACCACTTGTCTGTTCACAGGCCATATGAACCAGCAGCACCTTCATAGTGTGTGGAAAATCACAAGTGAAGCCATTGATGAGCTGCATCGGTCACTGGAATCTTGTCCTGGTGAAACAGCAGTGGCAGAAGACCCAGCTGGCTTGAAGGTGAGCCAGGGAGACTACCAGTATAGAGTCTCCAGCACCTTACAGAGAGCACTGTGAAACCAGCAGATAATGGCTTCCCTTCCCTTGTAGTAGTTTCTTCTTTTTTGTTGAACAGTGAGAATAGTTTGAAAAAACCCCACATAACAAAAAAGCACCTTTTTTTTTCAAGTCATAAAGTTATACGTTTCTACAGCAGCAAAGGATCCATGCGTTGGCCCTGTAGGTGCTACACGGTGTAAAACAATTGTTGCTTGTGATGCTCTACTGGGGATGGAGATATATAGGACAAATGTGACCATCAGGTAGAGATAAAGAGCATCTTGCAGTGTGTCTGTGTCATAGCCCATATAGAGAGTACAAAGGGAACTCAGAATAAGGAGAACATCATCTGACTCAGTAAGTGCTATTTTGAGGCAGGGGCAGTGTTTCTGAGACAGGTTTTCTCTGTGTCTGGAACTCACTCTGTAGACCAGGCTGGCCTCAAACTCATAGAGATCTGCCTGCCTCTGCCTCTCGAGTGCTAGGATTAAGGTGTGCGCCACCACTGCACAGCCAGTAAGTACTTTTATACCTTAAAAAAAATTATAGCTATTTAGAGAGCAAAAAGGATAAAAATAGCACAGGACAGTGAGATTGTGGTGAGGGAGGAGACAAGGAAGTTGGTATTAATGAATGATGGATGGCTGGCATCCTTCCTGAGCTGGAAGGAGCAGAAAATGATACTGGATAGGGAGAATCCCTTGCAGTAGAGCCTGGCATTGGCAAATGAATGTAGGTTTGAATGGTTCAAGATGCACTGTGCAGTTGTGGTCACTCGGTGAAGGACAATGAATGCTTTGTGAAGGTTCGTTCTCTCCCAAGTACAAAGGAAACGAGCACAGAAAACTGGGAGGAAGTCACTAGGTCAAGGGCTACCCCAGCTTGTTACTAGCAGTCTATATTGGCCTGTTGGATATAGAGGAGAGCCAAATATAAGGGTTATGAGAAACACAGAAAGGCTAGTAAAAGTCAAGTGACCATCAGAGGTTTCTAATTGAGAAGACAAACATGGGCTTTTAGTGGGTGTGGAGACATGGACAGGAGCATCCTAATAGAGATGCTGACCATTAGCCGGATGGAAGACTTCAGCATAGCAGACGGGAGAAACCAGTAGCTCATGACAACAGCTAGACTGTAGAGGGCTTGCCTGTACAAAGGAAGAGTAGAGTGAAGCCAGCGTTCACCATAGCCTCTCATTAAGAATTCATTCTGACATTTGATGTATTTTTGTCAGGTCCCTTTGCTACTCCACCAGAAGCAAGCATTAGCTTGGTTACTGTGGCGGGAAAGTCAGAAGCCACAAGGAGGGATTCTGGGTAAGTTTACTATTATAATAAGAGCCAACAGTTATTGGATTCTTAGGCACTATATTAACCTTGCTGTATTGTTTCATTTGATGTTGTCACAACACTGTGAGGAAGGTACGTCCATTTTTTTTCAGATGGGAAACTGAAGTGTAGAAATGTTGAGAACTTGGTTAAAAATACATAGCCTACCAATGGAAGGAAGTGTTTGCACCAACATTAGCTGCCTCTGACCAAGTGCTGGCTCCACAGTCCCTAGAAGCTGTGGAACATGAGACAAGCATTCCAGGAAGACAGGCCACAGCCACAACTACAAATTGATTGTGACTTTGCTCTGATGTTGAAGGAAGCTAAGGCCACCCAGTGTCAGCTCCATGTGTCCTGTGTTCAGACATTTGTAGTAGAACCTCCAACATCTAGTCCATCCCACAACCATAACTTACACGGATCAAAATCAGCAGAAGGCCCACAGGATAAAATCCTGGGCACAGTCTTCTGAAGTTCCTAGTGGGCTACATGGGTCACACTTAGTAGGTTGGAGGGTGTTTCCAACCAGAGAAGCATTTTGGAAACTCATTGCCCAGGGAGCTTTCTAGGAGCGATCGCATAGGCACTTTTATCCTGGTACACAACAAGATTCCATCCTTCAGAAGGAAAGGTAGTGTTTGGCACAGAACTACGTTGTATACAAATGGTGTGGGCAGAGTGAGTCACTTCTGTCAGTTCTGAAATGTGAGAGCCTTCCTTACATGTTGCCTCCTAAGGGAAACCAAGTCCTAATGTTGGGAGCAGGACTCTCAGGTTTGTAGACAGGTTTCCTATATTGACTCCTGACTGTGGCAGAAGCAGAATTGCTCACATTTTACTTCTACTCGGTTACAATGATTATTTTGAATGAATATAACAACCTGAGAGAACCTGAGTGTCACAAATGGAATGAAAAATAAGTTAGGTAAGCTCAGTTGCTGGTATAGACAGTCACAACCCAAACAATGTCAGTCTAGTGAGTTGGCTCAGCAAGGAAGCACTTGTAAAAGGCTGGTGACCGGAGTTTGATTTTGGGAATTTATGTAAAAAGTGGGAGGAGAGATCTGACTTACACATGTGTCTTAGTATGTGATGCTTATGTGTGTGCATGTGCACACACACACACACATATGCACATTTGCGTGCACACACATACAAATATACAAATATATAATGAGGTGTTCAGTTATGGCCTTTGATGACTAAAAGAAGTACATGAAGGACTGTTGGAAGCTTCAGTTGAATAGATGATAGGATATGTTAGCTAAACATTTTTGCTTTTGGAAATAACAAAAACCAAGCAACATCATGAAACTGAAAGAGTCAATCCATTGTTAGAAAAATGCCACTGTAATAGAAACTGGGGTAAGAGTAAGATCTAACTATTGTATGCTGAGTGTCTGAATTAGCTCTCCACAAAATAGCAGATCATCTTTGCAAAAACGAAGACCCCACTTGGGTAGGGAGCAGGTCAGTTTTTGCCTGGGGAGTCTTCTTCTGAAGTTGTGTTGACTCTCTGTCTTATTTTTCCAGCGGATGATATGGGCTTAGGAAAAACCTTGACAATGATTGCACTTATCCTAACCAAGAAGAATCAGGAGAAAAGCAAGGAAAAGGACAAAAGCTTCCCTGTGACGTGGCTGTCCAAGGATGGTAGATATAAGCGCCTTCTGCCATTTCCAACCTTATTTGAGTCAGCAGGGGGAGGTTTCCAAGCTATGAAAGGTCACATTTAATTAATCGGTTAGTAGCCACATTGGCTACTTTCCTGTGTTGTTCTAATGCTGAATATGCCGGTTATAAATGACTTCTACTTAAACTTCAAAAAAAAAAATTCTGAAGTGAAAGAGTTAGTTCAAACACAGTAATTACTGTTTTCTGTTGATATTTGGATTAAACTCCTGAGTAGAACCAAATTAATGTGCTTTTTAAAAGGTGCACATTCAATTTTTTCTTGTTTTAAAAATATAACTTGATGCATATTTTTAAGATGCTGTATAATTTTTGTTAGTACTGTAAATTATTGTGAACACAACACAAGTCCTGCTTTGCTATGTGGGTAGAGGCTTGTGGCTCTGTTCTCAGGGCCTGTGGTAAACACTGTTGCAGCTGGGCCCCTCACCCAGTGATACTAAGTACTGTGTCACTAGATGGTTCCACATAGCATTGGCTGTCTTAGAAGAGGCTTTTTCTACTTAAATATAGGTTCTATTTAACATATAGTAATTGTGTGTGTGTGTACGTACACATATATATATTTGGTTGTTTTTGTATTTTGTATTTTGAGACAGGGTTTCTCTGTGTAACAGCTCTGATTGTCCTGGAACTCACTTTGTAGACTAGGCTGGACTCCAACTCACAGAGATCCTCCTGCCTCTGACTCCTCTGAGTGGTGAGATTAAAGGTGTGTGCCATCACTGCCTGGCCTTGTGTTTGTATTTTAGTGTGGAAGTATATTATTGGGGAAAACACCAATAATCCCCTGTAGTGAATCATCTCAGGAGGCCTTAGGAAAGGGCCTGCTTCCTGCTTCCACTTCTGGCCACTGTGAAAGAGCATTGCTTTTTAGATGGCCACACACTGCCCACTTTCCTCCCCGTCTTTAGACTCAGAATCTGTACTTTTATAGGAAGAAAACAATTAAGTGCTTTGATTTAAAATTGCTTCCATTTCCTATTCCATTTGCTTTGTGTAGAAATAAAACAGTATTTAAAAATATATATTGAAGGGGCAAAGTCAGTCAAGAGAAAGTTAATGCTCAAGGCTGTTCAATAAATGTAACTAGGTATTGCTTTCCCCCCTCAAGACTCCTCTGTTTTTACTTCCCGTGGAACACTAATTGTGTGCCCCGCTTCCCTGATCCATCACTGGAAGAACGAGGTAGAGAAACGAGTGAACAGCAACAAACTCAGAATCTATCTCTACCATGGGCCAAACAGGAATCGGCAAGCAAAAGTGTAAGTGGCAGTACCTGGATGCACCTACAGCCCATCCAAGGAGCCCTTTGCCTTTCTGCTTACCCGTTCCTTCTCTTTGTCAGGGCTAATCGTGAGGGGACTGAGGCCGATTTTCAATCTCATTAGATTAGATACATCTACTGCACTTAGATACATCTACTGTGGTTCAGTGGTTTTACTTTGCTGTGCACTGGTCACTTTCCCTAACCAAAGCTGCAGTGGGAGGGGCTTGCAGTGCCTGAGCTGCCTCCAAGTGGCAGCCACATTCCCTGGTAAACCCTGGGAAATGGGGAAATATCAAGGTCTCTCTTGGGCACTGAAGTCTGAGTCCTCTCATCCTCTATTTCACTGAGTGTGAAAGGAAGCACCTAGTCTTGCACGCCATCTTGCTAGCATCTGTCATTCACCTGCTGTAGGCTGTGTGGATGTGTGAGTATTTATGGCTATATTTGCATACATAAAGTATTCCAAAAGTTTTTATGGCTGCATTTTCATACATCAACTATTCAAAAAGTTTAAACATTACAGTTTGTGATGCAGAATTTTTAGACTTAACTAAAAATTCTTGGAAGGAGATGCTTGGGAGGGAGAAAAGATCACCCTAGATGGTAATCTTTATTTTTTGGTTTCTGGAGGTAGTTGTTTTTGTGGGGTTTTTTTCTAGTGCTAGAGGCTAAGCACCCTACTACCAAGCTACATCTAGACCTGCTTGGTAATTTAAAGATATTGTTTTCTGTTTGTAATTGGGATGTGGGAATCTGAGGCAAATATTTGCTATTTAACCAAGGAAAAGAGCATTGTTCCTCCTCCCAAGTGAGCTATCTCCAACCATTTTCTGCTGGATATTTTGTATACCACAGAACAGTGCAGGCACTGTCCAGGGGTCAGTTACCAGATTGGTGGCTTTTATTCTTAAATATGTATTTTTTTAATCTCTAAAGGTTTATTTTTTAATTTTTAAAGATTTGTTTATTTAATATGCACGAGTGTTACATATGGGCATCACATGCATGCATGCATGTACCTGTAGAAGCCAGAAGAGGGCGTCAGAGTCCCTGGAATTGGAGTTAGTGGTAGTTGTGAACCACACTTGTGCTAGATAGCAGCAAGTGCTCTTAACCTCTGAGCCATCTTTAGAGTCTGACCTTAGTCTAACACACCTGTTCTCATAGTCAGTGCACTACTGGCAGGATGCAGACTTGACTGTCGCCTGCTTTTGTTCTGGAGCTTTAGAAACGATTAGAGCTCACTTGATTTGCACTTTGAGTACAACGGGCTTGTTACTGAGAAGACACCAGTCACTTATATTTGATGCTGCAGATTAATAGATGGTAGTGATGCTGAGAATTCATAGATGATACTGCCATTTGGAATTAGGAGTATCATTTTACCACAAGAATTTAGTGTCATCTCTCAGATACATGGTATTAAATCTATTAGACTAAGATTAATAAGAACCTTTGAGTGTAAATAATGTAGGAGAGGTGAGCTGAAAGCTTACTAAGTTAAACATTAAAACCCAAAACTAAGTTAACGGGTTTTCACAAATCTGTTGTGAAGTGGTTGTGAGAAAGTACCATTGGCATGGGGTAACAGTACTTTGAAGGTCTCTTTCTTGGAGACATCAGCCTCACCCACCTTGAACCATTAAATATCAGTTTCCAACCTGTCCTACTTACTATTCTGATCAGATCATTACAAACTTAATATGACTACAGTGAGAACTTTTCCTTTCTTACTCACTGGATGGAAACAGAGGTTGTTTACTAAAGTGAACATACTTTAGTAAAAATGATCACATTGGTAAGAGGTAGAAAAGTCTGGCATGAAAACCTGCCTCTTATGTCACACACACACACACACACACACACACACACACAGAGTGAGTGCATGTATGTTCCAAGGACATAATTACTCAGTGTCAATTTTGCTATCTTTCCTTCCCATCCTAAGTTTTATTTTTGCAGTACTGCAAGTTGAACCCAGAGCCTTGAAGATACTAGGCAAGCACCCTACCCCTGCTATTCTTTCTCCCAGCTCCCTAGGCCTTTTTATAAAGAAGCCAACTGTGCCTCTGGCAGGCTCCAGGAGCAATTGTTTACTGTTTGCTTTGTATTGTGTCCTTGCAGACTCTCTACATATGACATCGTGATTACTACTTACAGCCTTCTGGCCAAGGAAATTCCCACAACAAAGCAAGAGGGAGAGGTCCCAGGTGCAAACCTCAGTGTGGAGGTGAGGCTTGGGCATGCCAGGGAGGTGGGGTTTGGGCATGCCAGGGAGGTGGGGCTTAGGGATGCCAAGGAGACAGAGGTAGAGCCCCATGTAGTCTAATGGGACAGTTAGCAAAGGTATTTTCCTACAAGGAGAAGAATGTTCCAAATACTCTACCTATGGACATGAGTCCTTCTTCCCACTGGACAAGCACCCCAGTGATAAAACACTACTTGGCACCGTTGGACAGTTTTTAGAACTAAAGAAACATTCACTGTAGTTGTAATAATAGTCACACATGGATTCAGAGGAGTCTCATTCTCTGCTTTCATCTTTGACTATGTGGGGTGTGCTCTTGTGTGTTATGTTTAGTATGCATTACCCTGTTATTGCCTAGCAAATAACAGACGAGTCAAAGACTGCAAGATAACCCTGAGAAATTCTTGGTTCTTGGCTGATTCCAGGACTCTTAGCTGATGTACAGGCTTTATTGTGTTGACCATTCAGTGCTTTTCCATAGCTCTTGAGATAAAACCCAAATTCCATGACATAATGTCTCGGGTACCTTACAGTCTTTCTCTCTCTACCCCTCATGTCTCCTCCTCTGCCTCCTCCCTGTGACACTGCACGCTCTGCATACTGTCACACCTGCCTCCCTCCGGTTTTCTCTGGATACTGTGCTTAAGCTGCCACCCTTAGGTTTTAGGAAGCCTCTCTGTGCTGCTCCCTTGTCAGCATTTGGATGAGTGTCTCCGCTGGCACCTGGTACTCACTTGGTTGTGGCTTTGCAGCTGGGGTGGGGGCTCTGCTGAGCGGGGAAGGGAAGTCTTGGTGCAGCGGACATCCTCTGTCCTATACTGACTGGCCTCTGAACAGGCTTCATGCTCTGCTTACATTTTTCTCTCTTGCTGGAGTTTGGGCTCCTTAAGGGTGTGAGCTGGCCTTTATGTTTTTGATTTAGCATCTTACACCTAAAATTAGACTTGTAGTAAATTTAGTAACTATTTTGCTAAGTGAATGAATTTTCAGCCTTCTACTTAGTATATTCCTGGCCAAACATTGTTTTTTGTTTTTGTTTTTGTTTTTTTGGTTTTACGAGACAGGGTTTCTCTGTATTGTTTTGGAGGCTGTCGGTCTAGCCCGGCCTCGAACTCACAGAGATCCGCCTGCCTCTGCTTCCCAAGTGCTGGGATTAAAGGCGTGCCTAGCCAAACATTGTTAATGCAATTACTGAATGTGGATTGAAAGAGCAAAAGGAAACTTAAATTACAAGGCATTTTTACCCTTAGGATTTTAAGTTCAGACCATTTGTTTGAACTGTTTGAGGAGGTCTGCCCTTGGTTTCTGAACTTAGTTCAGTGGAAAGGTCTAAGCAAATTAGAGGGTCAGAGTGGGTCCTCAGCACTGTGGTCAGGTCCCCTCCTTGAGGAGCATGCATGTTCCTTACTGGTGTTGGCTATCACTTTGTTTCTTCCAGGGCATCTCAGCACCTTTGCTTCAAGTAGTCTGGGCTAGAATCATATTGGATGAAGCTCATAATGTGAAGAATCCTCGAGTCCAGACATCCATTGCTGTGTGTAAGCTACAAGCTCAGGCCCGGTGGGCTGTGACTGGAACCCCCATTCAGAACAACCTGTTGGATATGTATTCACTGATGAAGTGAGTGACCTCTTTGGGCTCACTAAAGTGAACCTCTGTCCCTAGCTTGTAACACTTCATTATTTCATGTTCAGGGATGAAGCTCTGTGGGTTCAGATTATCTCGTGTAGCAGGTGACAAGCTTTAAAGGCAAAGGATGGATATTCATGAGGAAGTATTGTCAGTTCACAGGCTGATACCTGTGAATTAAAGGAAGCTAAGGTTACCATTCTTCAGTCCAGTGGCTGTTTTAAGCTACTTTGCTTGAAAATCCTTGGACTAAAGTCAGGATAGCAATTTATTTCAGTCAAGCAGAAGAGAATGCTGGCTTCAAAATGCTTATTTTTTTCAAATGTGCCCATAGCAGACTTTGGCATTTCTTTGCTAACAGTAATGCTTTAGCCATAAATTCTAGCAGTGTGTCATGTTGTGACTTACATTGTCAAATGCACATCTTTACAGTGTGGTTTTCCTGATTGGCTTGGGTTCTTTTGGCCTGTGTGGGAAATATTGCTATGGAATCCATTTTGGGATGGGATGGGATGAGAGGTAACCGTTCTGGTTTGTTTTCATTGTGTCTTGCTTTGAACACTAATTCCATCCTCTCCCTGCTCTGTGCCCTTCCTGGCCCTAAAAAAGGTTTCTCCGCTGTTCCCCGTTTGATGAGTTCAGTCTTTGGAAGAGTCAGGTTGACAACGGTTCAATGAAAGGAGGAGAGCGGTTAAGCATTTTAACCAGGAGCCTTTTGCTGAGGAGAACAAAAGACCAACTGGATTCTACTGGTAAACCTTTGGTAACCAGATTTCTGCCTATCCTCAACAAGGCCAGGGAAGTGGGTGGTAACCAGGACCCCAGGTAGACTAGCCCTGTGTCAGGAGCCTCTTTCCTTCTGAGGAGATCCTCCTTCAAGCAATCCATGGTGCTGTGTTAGCGAAGTCCTAGCCAGAGAAGGGGCTGCTGTGCAGAGACCTGCACCAGAAGGCTGGTGTGCTGGGGCTTGCTCTGAAGAGTCTGTTGGTTTATAGAGCTTCGCTCCAGCCTCCTCGTCTCGTTCTTGCAGGTGCTACTGCCCCAGCGTAGACTTCAGCTGCACCATTTAAAGCTCTCTGAAGATGAACGGGCTGTTTATGACGTCTTTCTTGCAAGGTCAAGGTGTGTGTCCTGAGGGAGCACCTTCTCTTGTGCTTTAGTTATTCTTTTCTTGGCTTAGGGAGGAGCCTGGACTTGGGTTTCCTCCAGTTTCACGTATGATTCTAACGTGCTACATCTTTATATTCTGGAACACCTCCAAACTCTGTATTTCTTTCTTATTGCCCTTTTCCTTCCCTCCCTTCTCCTTGGTGTATCTCTGTCTCATACTCATTGAAGTCAGAATTTTGACCCCACTTTTAATAGGCTTGTTTACAAAGCAGTCAGGGTGTGGAATCTATCTGCTCCTTTGGGGACTGTATTGAATATTGACTCTCTTTGACCTTTAACCTACTACACGGCATCTCAGCTTTGTAATCTTTCATATTTGTTTTTTGCACTTTCTCTAGAACTTTTGTCATTCTTGGAATTCTCCTTTGCCCCCTTTCACATGGCATTTTTTTGTTTCCAAGAATGTTTTCTGTCTTCTTATACTTTATACTTACTATGAATTTTCAAAAGTTTGTCTATTGCAAATAATAATAACTGATTATTTCTTTGTATATGACTCATGTTTGCTGTGAGCTGGGTATCATTTAGCCAGTACATTCTCTAACTTGCCCAGGTCCTACTCCAAGTTAAGCAACAAACACTGTAAGAAGTCTGACCTTAGTGGCTGTAATATATGTCTTTCCTCTGTTGTTCTGAGATAGGTCAGCTCTCCGGTCCTATCTAAAGAGACACGAAGGTAGAGGCAGCCACCCTGGAAGAAGCCCTGATAATCCATTCACTAGAGGTAAGTTGGGGACACTCAAACATGTAGCCACTGAAAAGTGGGACTTCTAGCTGTTAATATAGCAGAAACAGCTTATGGGCCCCAGGTCACAGACTATATTTTATCAAAGCTTGTTAAGCCAGAGAAAAATACACTGATCTCAAAACATAAGGACTTCTTTCTGTTTTCTAAATCTGCATTATTTAAAATAGGCAAGGCAGGACAACAGAAAAACCTAGTCTTTCATCTGACTTCATAAACGTGTGTTGTAGGGCTGTCAAGAAGGCTTAGCTGGGGAAGGTGCTTGACACCAAGCCTGAGGACCCAAGTTCAATTCCTGGGACCCATGTAGTGGAAGGAGGGTGGGACTGACTTCTGTGGGTAGTCTCCTGACCTCCACATGCATACCTTGGTACACATAGCACCCAAGAATCTTTTTCTTTAAATATGTTACAGCTCAGTTATTGACTCTCAGAACAAAAAAAAGGTTAACTAGCCTCACTCAGTTCCCAGTTCTGCCCCACATTTCCCTGTTTTAATCCTGTACCGTTTCCTGGGGCTTGTCTTCTCTCTGTAAGTGGCCCAGGAGTTTGGGTCCAGTGTGCCGCGGAGCTCCGCTGCAGCAGACTCACAGAGACCCAGCACCGTCCACGTCCTGTCCCAGCTTCTACGACTTCGCCAGTGCTGCTGCCACCTGTCTCTACTGAAGTCGGTGAGAGAACGCACCAGTCCAGTGGTTTTCAAACCATGGGTCACAAGCCCTTGGGGGGTCAAATGATCCTTTCACAGGGGTTGCCTACATCATCAGAAACTATAGACACTTACATTAGGATTTGTAACAGTAGCAAAATTACTGTTCTGAAGTAGCAACAAAAATAATGTTTTGGTTGGGAGTCACCACAACATGAGGAGCTGTATTAAAGGGTCACAGCATGAGGACAGTTGAGAACTGCTGCTCTAGTCTACTGTCACTTCTGTAGTCCTCTGTGGCTGGCACCCAGGCTCCCAAGTAAAGGAAAAGGCTGGTCTGCAGGGCTACAGTGGGAGAAGAAGAAACTGACTTCATGTGTTTTATATTAATGTCTGTGAATTCTCACGATTTCCATGGCGGCAGATTCATTTAAAACACACACACACACTTTTGTTTTGTTCTAGATTCACACTGTTTTAGACCAGGAAGTGACTGATGTCAAGGAATCCATTTGTGCATGCTTTGCTATCTCGGGGTGTCATAGAGCTTATGTAGTTACTGTTGTTTAGTGCTGAGGATTATGAAAACTCAAATACAAACTGGAAGGTAGCTTTACACTAGACAGAGGCATATCTAGAATTCTCTTTGCTTAGTGTTGTCCTTTGTCAGAGAATGAACTATGAAAATAGAATGTCATGTAATCTGTCTGGCATGTTTTAAACTTGATCGTATGGTTTATCTGACGAGAAACCTAAGGGTTGTGCTTTAGACAGGGCCTTTTCCATAGAACTGGAGAGAAAAGATAGTTTGCTCTCCAGTGTTGGAAAGTAGCTGCAAAGAATGCTTATCACCTCCACTGCCCCGTTCCCATCCCTTCTCTCTGTTCTTCCAAGGCCTTAGACCCGACAGAGCTGGAGAGCGAAGGCCTCGTCCTGTCCTTGGAAGAACAGCTCAGCGCTCTGACCTTGTCCAAACTCGACTTCTCAGAGCCATCGCCCACCGTTTGTCTTAATGGCACATGCTTCAAGGTGGAGCTTTTTGACAACACACGAAAGAGCACCAAGGTACTTTTGTCACCTCTGTGCTTTACAGAACGATGGAATCACATTTCTGCCCTGTGTTGGAGTACCTCACTTGTGTGCAGAAGAGCCGTGCGAGAGCAGGATTATAACTATCAGATTCTAGAGGCCCCTCTAGGCTTAAAGCCTCACCTTGTCAAAGAACTCTAAAGCTTCATTCATGGTGGGCTTTCAGGAAATGATTTGGGACAGCTCTGCCATCAAGGTAGGTTCTCTGTCACAGATTACTAGGGAAGGGCTGCCAGTTTTATGCTAGGAGTGGGGACTGAGCAAATGAGGGATTTAGGGAAAGCTTGGAAGGAGAACTGCAGACATGACCCTGGAGACCGTGCAGTGTGCAGTGACACTGCTTTGACTTGTTGGATGGCTTCCAGCTGTGAGTCCTGTTTAGTCATTAGTCAGTCAGCTCCAGTTCACTAAAGGCTAAAGGGCTTTATTACAGAAAGACAAAGCTATGCTGTAATTGGAGTCCTGCCTCTCATTTGGCTTACAATATGCTTCCTTAGCCCACATACCCTCAAAGTAGGGCTTGCTTTTCTCTCTTCCAACCTTACGTTTCCTTTCCACTCTTACCAAAGCTTTTTTAAAGATGTGGACTAGAAAGGAAGTCACTGCCAGAGGAACATCTTGGCAAAAGAGAAATGCTGCCTCTTAACTGAAATCTAAAGGCTTTGTTTTGTTTGCATGTTTCAGTTTGTGTGTTTGTCAGTCAGTTGTGGAAATCAGAGGATAACCTATGGGGCTAGTGTTCTTTCGCCAGGTGAGGTTCAGCACACTTACCTGCTGAGGCATCTTGCTGTTAGTTACAGTTTGAGAACATGAACCTAGGTATTTACTATAAACAACTGAAAAATACTAAGAGCTCTGTATGTGTCCAGCTTGTATACTTTAGCATCATTGGAATTAGCTGCTATGCCCTTGCCTAGTACTCGGCTTCTTAGCATGAGCCATTAGGAGACGCAGATCATGTTAGGCTTTGTTAAGAGGGAGTGGCTTAAAGCCTGCCAAGCTCTTTTGCTTTCTTCTGTGAATTTTAGGCTAGAGCCTTCCCTCCTCCAGCATTGTGGAGGCCAGGAGTACAGGAGTGAGCCAGACACGTGGCATCCAGCTTCTCATAGCACCTGAAGTCCTGATAGCAAAGGATGATTACTAAGCAATGATTGTGACTTATGCTCGGAACTGGGACAGTAGAAACAGGAGTAGAACATATGTGGTAGACACTGTTGCTGGAGTGTCTTTCCTGCCTGGTCCCGCAACCATTAGCCCCAAATAAACACACAAATGCTATTATTATTATAAAACCGATGGCCAGGGCTAGCTCTTAATTATTAACTCATAACTACTAATCTGTGTATTTCTACATGGCCTTATCTTACCAGAGAACGCCTGTCACATCCTATCTTCCTGGTCTCTACATGGCATCTCCTCCCAGTCTCTCTCTGCCTACCTTTCCCAGAATTCTCATCACCTAGTCCCGCCTATCTCCCTGCCTCTATTGACCAAACTGTTTTATTCATCAACCGCTAAGAGAAACATATATACAGAAGAACATCCCCCATCAAGGCACCTGACCCACACTTAAGTGTCACCCATGATACCCCAACAGTATGGCCAAACAAGACCTGAACAATGACAGTACCAAATAGACATACTAATGTGGAAGAGAGAAGTCTCACAGGGTCCTACCCCTGGCAAAAAAATACAGGCAGCCAAAGACTGCTGCTGAGAGATGGGGCAGCCTCTCCCAGGGCTGGGGCCCGTAATTGCTTATCCAGTTCACAATGGTCAGCCCTAAAATCAAGTGTACACAAGCCATACCAAACAGACTATGTAGGTTATATTTATATGTGTTTATATGTAACAATAATAAATAAAAAGGCCTATCAATTTGAGAGGATGTACTGGGGTTCATGGGAGATGTTGAAGGGAAAATTGTAAAGGGGAAGTGATATAATTGTATTTTAATTAAAAAAATTGAAAAAAAAATTTTAAAGCCAAAAAGACATTAAGCTGACATGATATTCTTACTAGAGGGAACAGGTGTGACCTATCAGGTAAAGAATGTCAGTATGACTGACGTGTCCTTTGAGGAGGGCTTAGTAAGGAATGGAACAGAGGTCAGAGCAGCATGGGCCCAGAGGTCAGAAGGGGCTTGGGCTCTGTCCTCAGTAGGAAGTCATAGAGAGGAGAGGGCAGTAGCTTACATTTAAGAAGTAGCCTCTGGCTGCAGGAGAGTGAGTGGACAGCCAGGCCAGAAGCATAGAGGCTGTCCAGGACATTGCTTTTGTAATTCAGAGAGAAGAGACAAAAGTGAATGGCTTAAACTGCAATGTTATGTGACCTTTCCTAGGTGTCTTCTCTGCTGGCAGAACTGGAGGCAATCCGAAAAGGCCCAGGGTCCCAAAAGAGGTGAGTGTTATTTCACTACTTCTGCAAGGAAAGTTGATGCTTGTGATGCTCTCAAGTCTTAGCTTAAGTCATGCCCTGCAGAACGCACTGAGGTTATGGTGTAAATTCCTGTAATTTCTAATTGAAATATTGTGATGTGCATTGACCGGGATCCCTGGCTTACCACACCCCTGTGAATCTGGGTAAGGTAGGTGTCTGAAGCAGTAAAAGAATGGAAGAATGGGAGGAGAGCTGTGCCACAGCTCCTAAGTCAAACAGAGAGCTACTGCTTAAGCTAAGGCTTATAGTCAGGTGGGTTCCTTTTGTCATTTGCTGCATCTTCACCTGTATAGTCTCTCTCTCTCTCTCTCTCTCTGTCTCTCTCTCTCTGTCTCTCTGTCTCTCTCTCTCTCTCTCACACACACACAGATACATCTATATAATGTAGCTGCATTTGCATATGTAAACAGTTCCTTAATAAAAGCTCTGGGTAAGCCATTCTTGGGGTGAGCAACCTAGCAGCTGTTCTAGTGGCCACAGGGCAAGTAGCCAGTGTCCCTTTTCTGCTTTTGGATGAGCACTAGGACCCAACAAAAGGCAGCTGGAGGTATTGCTTTGGCCTAGCAGCCCTTGTCTCTTGCTCTAACAGGTGAGAGTGGAGCTTAGAAGTAGATGGGAGGACTATAAACTGCCAGCGTGACCTTAAATGTGTGCCCATGTTAGCTTCATGCCACTACCATGTGTGGTCTCGCAGGAGACACTTAGAAAGCAGACAGAGTTTGTAGCTCATGGCTCTGGAGGCTTCAGTTACGACTGGAGGCTCCCATTGACTTAGGCTGTGGGTGAGGGAGCAAATGACATTAGCCAGGGTACATGACACTACAAGTAGCCACATGTCAAGCCAGGAAGCAGGGAGGACTGCCTCCCCCAGGCTCTACCTCATCATCATTCACAGCGCCCCCAACACTGCTACCCCAGGACCAAGCCTTTACATGCAGGCCTTTGGGAGTCACTGTCCCAAGCACAGCGTGACCTTTCCCTTTAGGTAACGGATTCTGCTGGTGTGCACTTTGTATCTTGAGACTAGTAGTGTTACAGCCTGCAGAGGAGACTGCATAGTCTTTGATGGTTTGGGTTTTTGTTCTCTCCTCTCTAGTGTCATTGTCTCTCAGTGGACCAGCATGCTGCAAGTGGTAGCACTGCACCTCAGGAAGCACGGACTCACTTATGCCACCATAGATGGCTCTGTCAATCCCAAACAGAGAATGGATTTGGTGGAGGCATTTAACCACTCCCGGGGGCCTCAGGTATGAGTTAGGTGCAGCAGGCCTGTTTAATTTAGCAGCATATTGTTCTTAGTAATAAAATAGCATAATGTAGCAACTCAACCTAAAAAGTACTCAGTCCTGATCCTTCCCAATATTTATAATTTATTAGACATTTATTGGGGAGTCCTTGCTAAAGTGCACAAGTAACTTTATGAGAACTAAACTGAAGAGTCAGCAGAGCTACGGGACTTCTGTAGAGGAGGAAGCCTGGAGGGTCTGTGGGCCTTTGACTGAGCCGCAGGAGAACAGGGTCGTGTGATAGGTCAGGACTCAGGAAGCACTAGTTGAATGGAAGGGAGGGTGATTGAGTTGTGGAGGACATGGTCTTAAGACTAGTCATAATTTGGTTAATGCAAAGCTGACCACCGAGGATCTAAATTACAGTGTCTGTATATTTTGGCAGACTGCTTTTTGAGGTTGACGCTCTATGGAATGTGAGGATTTTTTCAAAGATGAGGTCTGAGAAATAGCATCCTAATGTTTCAGAACATTACTTTGGGAGAATGTGAAAGGAACATATTTCTTGTGTTTTGACCTTGAATAAGAGGTGGAATGATGCTGGTCAGCTCTTTCTGTACCTACAAACACCTGGTGTAAAGCGAAGGGGCTGCTTTTGGCTGCTTTGGAGGTTTCAGTAGTGCATGGTCAATGAGCCCTGATGCTTTTGGGCTTCTGATAAGGGAACATCTCATGGCAAGGAAGTAAAGAAGACAGAGAAAGAGTCAAGGACCAAGGTCTCATTATACCTTTAAAGGAATTTCCCAATGACTTGAAGATCAATAGCACCGACCCCATAAAGTTCCACCGCCTCTGAACTAGTGTCATGATGGAGACCAAGCCTTTGCCACCTGACTTTTGGGGCACTGACCTAACCCATGGCAGATGATTATGAGACCCAGTGTGCAGAAGCTAATAGAATGTTTCCTTCTGCAGGTTATGCTAATCTCCCTCTTGGCTGGTGGTGTTGGACTCAATCTGACTGGAGGGAACCATCTTTTCCTTCTGGACATGCACTGGTAACCAGGGTTTCCTTTGAGTTGTTGCAGCATGTCAGGGAGAGCAGCAGGGTCTAACCTTAGGTTGTGTACCTTTAAGGGAGTCATGGAGACATCTGTACAGCCCATTTGAGTTGCCTATAAGGCTGGCTGACATTCCAGCACTGCTGTGTGAGCATTTCATGGCTATTTGAAGTAGTTCGTGAATTTTATTGATCACCAACTTTAAAAAGAAAAAATTTAACATTTTTACCCATAAAAATGAAGAACACAGGAAAAGAAAAAGAAGAAGCTGGGTGTAATGACACACGCTTTTAGTCCCAGTGCTTAGGAGGCAGAGACAGGTGGATCTCTTGAGTTCCAGGCCACCCTGGTCTACAGAGCAAGTTCCAGGACAGCTACACAGAGAAACCCTGTCTCAAAACACCAAACAAAAGAAGAACACAGGTTTTTCTCATGACTGAGAACTACACTGCTCAGTTTGATGTTTCTAGAGTGCTATTTTCCAGACATAGTTGTTGAGAAGGAATCAAGGAAGTCTCAACCGTAGTTACTCCAGAAGGAAGAAGAGGGATTTTCTAACTGATGGAAATGCTTGTTATGTCCAGCTACCAGCTTCACTGTGTGTGGCGCCAGTACCTTGGTGTGTGCCCTTCCTAGTACAAGACAAGTGAGAAGGTCACATGTGACTAGGTGACCTCTCACAGTGCCACTTTCTGATTTTCTACTTATGTAAACCAGGATTGCTGTTTCAGGCTTTGTTTTGTGGTGCTGGGGACTGAGCCCAGGGCCTTGCATTTGCTGATCCTAGCTTACTTTTTACTTTGAGATAGGATTCACTAGTCGTGAAATCTGGCCTTGAACTTGAACTGTAGTCCAGGCAGGCCTTAGGCATTTGTGATCTTCATGCTTCAGTGTTGTAAGTAGCTGGGACAGGCCTGCACCATCATACTGTTTTCTGAGTACTGTTTGTAGGATGTGTCTACTTCTCCACACAGCTTCAACTGGCGCAAAGAGGCCAACTTGCTTTATCTGTGGAGAATGTAGGTAGGTTTACTTAGGATTCATATACACAGAAGCGAGAAAAGCATACTAGGAATTCTACCAGTTTTGGGATGGAGAAATATTACCCAGATTCTAAAGAGGAAAGATGAGGTCCATTTAGAGTTGATGAGGATCTATAGGGAAGGAAACAAATTATGCCTCTTTAGTGGACTTCAGTGAACACTAAAGTTGAAGGAAATATTTGAGATTATTAACCAGCTCTTATATTTCAAAGGAGGTTCTGAAGCCTCTATCCATGGTCAGCAGCTAGTAAAGACTGGATAGGAATCCTGCTTTCACTTCTGTGTCTCAGAGAGCCTGACTGATGATAGTCCTAAGAGCTATTAGGAGCCTGTTCCCAGTTTCTCAGTAGAGGATATGATCTTTCTCAGTAAAAGGATGTGGGTTTTTAGGTCAGTGCCTTCTAGAACAAGCTTGACAGTCTTCTGTAAGCGTATTTCACTTTGCAGGGCACATAGTTCTCTGTTGCATAGTCTTTGTTTGTTTTTCAAGATAAGTTGGCCTTGGCTGTCATAGAACTTTCTCTATAAACCAGGCTGGCCCTGAACTCACAGAAATCTGCCTCAGACAGGGTTTCTTTGTAATCTTGGCAGTCCTGGAACTCACTCTGTAGACTGGACTGGCCTTGAACTCACAGAAATTCCCCAGAGCCACTTGAGTGCTGGTATTAAAGGTGTACACCACCATCCAACTCTGTTGCATATTCTTTTTTCTTTGTTTGTTTCCTTAAACTCCTTTGAAAATGTAATGACTATTTTTAGCTAAAGAAACATACTAAAATGAACTGTGGTCTGGACCTGCCATTAGGCGGTGTTTTGTCAGCCCTGTGTAGGATGCTGGAGTTTCTGAGTTACATCTCTTAACAGGAACCCCTCACTTGAAGACCAAGCTTGTGACCGGATTTACAGAGTAGGACAGGAGAAGGATGTAGTCGTGCACAGGTAAGCAGAGGTTCCAGGCCCTTCTCAGCATCTTCCTGTGTGAAAGCTGCCTTTGGGGAGTCTTGTCATAGACTAGGAAGTGTTTGGTGACCACTGCACTAATGATGTTCTACAAGTATACCTCAGGGTACTGGTCAGGAAGGGAAGAAGCAATCTGAGGTAACATTTTGGTCACGGCCAAAAAGCAAGCGTGTCTGGTAATAAGCCACAGCTCACCAAGGGGGGTATCTCTGAAGGGCTTGTTCCCTGCCCACCCCCACCCCCCACTTTTTTTTAACTTTTGGCATGGCACAGTCTTGGTCATACAGAAAAGTTGCAAGGAAATTACCAGAAAGTTCCTGTATTCGGGTGTCCGTGTGTCCGTGTTTGTGTGTGCGCGTGCGTGCGTGCTTATGTGTGTGTGTGTGTGTGCGCGCGTGTGTGTGTGTGAAGTGATCAACATTAGAATGTTACCATCAGTATAATCCAAGCCTGATCAACCCATACTCGGGTTCCTATCTCCCAATACTGTCCTTCACAGCAGAAGATCCCACATCCCAGGTAGCATTTGGTTGTCATGACTGTGTATCCTTTTATCTGCCAGTGCTCTTTTCTGATTGTGACACTGTCTTTGAAGAGCACAGGCTGTTACTTTGCAGAGTGCTCCTCTTTGGGGCCCACATAACTTTAAGAACATCAGAACGTGCCTCAGTGCTACAGTCCACTCTTCCTATGGCCCTCGTGTTTGCTTCCTTTGCATGACAGGGTCTAGTGGAGACTTTAGGAGTCACAGTCAGTACTGCTTACCTCCATCCCCTCCTCAGTCTTGTAGAGTGCTTCCACCCATTTCATAGACACCGTCCCTGTTGAGGGTCAAATTTTGGTGACATCCAAAATTTGCCACATGCAATGATAATTAGTTTCCTGTCTTTAGCTCTCTTCTCTGCTCATTCTATATTCTCCTTTAATTATATCACTCCACTAAGTTCAAAATCTATATTTTTAATTCCTCTGTCTCTTAAAATTCCAACCTGGATATCTGGATCCCTGCTAAACATCTAAAACTAAGTATGCATTCTCATCCGTCTGCATTCATCTGCTTTGTGTTCAGATAACAGAATGATTGCTTACTGAACATGTGAATGTGCCAAGTATAATCACACCCTCCAGGGTAAAAATGTCAGTCTGCAAGTTTTGCTTCCTATTTCCTCAGTACATACATGTGCCATATCTGTGTGGGTAGTACCGGTTTATCTAGCTGTACAGCCAGAAACTAGACTCCTCTCCCTCTTCCATGCCCAGGCCTTCAGTTGTATTTTCTGAGCTGCTAACCACCCTTTCCTTTCCATCCCCACTGCCAGCTCCCTATACGGTTCTGCTGATGCCTGTCCTGCCTTGCCAGCAGAGGACTCTTTCTGACTGATCGCTGCTGGGACATGGCATACGTTCTTCAATGGCTTACTTCCTGTAGATTTACTCTCAGGGTCTCCGTGTGTTGGGGATAACCACTGAGGATCTGGCCCATAGCTCCTGAACTTTTGCTACCAGTAGACTTGACTGGACAGCATGATCTTTAATTAAATATTTAATTAAATATGCCATTTTCTAAAGCTCAGCCACAGTTTACACAAATTCTCATTCCCTGGGATGCTGTGCCTACTCCACCATCTCATCTAGCAAACACCTGCTCATCCTGCGTACCACGGATTAAGAGTTAACTGTCATGGAGCCCTACACCAATTGCCTTTTGTACCCTGGATACACTTGCACTGTACCACTTCATGGTCTTATTAGTTTTGTTATTTTTATTGGATGTTCATATCTTTGTTTTCTCCTACAAAGAAAAAAATATACTTGTTTTGTCACTTCCCATAGGACGTGGTATATGTGTATATAAATGCATACATACTTAGTTGGTACTTGAATGAATGGTGACTTCGATTTGAAAAACCTGCTTATGGTATGAATTAGCTAAGAAATTAGACACTCTGCACTTAAACACACAGACGCTTGTCAGAATCTTGACCTTTGAGGCCCTTCTGACCTTGTCAAAATAGAATTGGAGTAAAAGCTGGGCCTTTACATTTGTTTTAGATAGAAATGTCTACTGCAGTAGCCCTTACTTCAGAAAGTCTGAGGCGCATCACTTTAGGCAGACGTATTTCGTCAAAGTTGTGTGGATTCTCTGCTCTCATCTAATGCCAGGGAGACATCTCCTTTAGAACTGAAGTGGAGGGAAGTTCGAATGCACACTTTGGTAAGCTGCTTAGACGCTGACATATGTTATCATTTGTTCTAGGTTCGTCTGTGAGGGGACAGTGGAAGAGAAGATCTTACAGCTCCAAGAAAAAAAGAAAGAGTTGGCCAAACAGGTCCTTTCAGGATCTGGAGGATCTGTCACCAAGCTCACACTGGCTGACCTCAAGGTCCTCTTTGGCATCTAGCTTCCTCTGCCAGTGCTGTATGTGCTAGGGTCTGGAGTGGATCTTTCCATGATCCTAGAGCCTTAGATGCCATCTTACTTAAACTGGGGCATATTCCTCTTCCAGGAATTGAGCATGGGTCACCATGTTAACAAACTGGTTAGTTCAACATGTTTATCCACTTGTGTGATGCCATAGAAACCAGTTGGTTATTTCAGATTGAGCCTGTCATGGTGGTGCATGCCTATAATCCCAGCACTTATGAAGCAAGAGGATGGAGAGTTCCAGGCTGGCCTGGGTTAAAGACTTTCAAAACAAAGCACAGAAGTGCTTTGGAAGCCAGTCATAGTCTATATAATCCCAGCACTGGAGAGGCCGAGACAAGATTGTGAGTTAGAGGCCAGCTTATGCTACAGGGTAAATTCTAGTCCAACCTGGCCTACAGAGTGAGACCAAGTCTTAGAAGTTAGATGGTCTGGGAAAATAAGTCTAGAAGAATTGTACAAATGCTTTGGTGAAACCCAACAAGTCATTACAAGCATGGTGACAAATGCTTATAATACCAGCACTTTGGAGGCAAAGCTAAAAGGATCTTGAGTCTGAGATTAGTCTGTGTAACATATTGAGTTCTTTGGCAGCCTTAATTACATGGTGAGACCCTGTCTATCAAACAGCCACAAAGCCCTCAGTTGATGGGGCACCTGGTCTTAATTACCTTTTCTGTATAGGCTCTGTCCTGTCTCCTTGCTGGCGGGCTGCTCCTTGTAAACCTCTTTGTAGGCTGAGAAGACGGAAGATCATGTAACCAGCCATTCCTATGTGGCTGGATGAATCTAGACAGTTCCTCAGACTTAGGGTCAAGATATTTTGCATATAAACAGATGTTGCATAGTCATCATGGTATCATCTAGCGTCTGTCATTTAACCTGTGCATCATTGTTTCATTTAGGAGTATTTCAACATCAGTGTGACTGTGTTACTCAGTTTCAGCACTGTATCGTTTAGTATCTGAGCCATTTGGTATCACAGTATTTCTATCATGTAGTATTTGTATTATTTAATGCTGATGTCAATTTTAGTTATCAGTAGCATTTAATACTGTTGTATCATTTAGTTTATACCATGTACCACCTTGTGTTATCATTGGTGTAGTCTTAATAAATGTGTTGGACAGTGTCACAGAGGTAATGCTATGTGTTCCCCAAACCCCATCTTCTTTTCCTCAGAGTATCCAGAGACCACCTGCTGCAAGTAGGGTCCTCATTTCTGAGTTGTATCTGGGAGAGCGTGGAGAGAAGTAATATAAGGAAATCGGGTGTCCTGTGCAACTTTCTAAGTGTTTCTTGTTGTTGTTTCTGTTAGCCTGCTCAAAATAGGAACTGAAGGAAAGATAGATGTCGTGGCATAGGAAGGGTAACTACCACTAGATCAGGGGTTCTCTTTTTTTTTCCTTTAAAAAAACATTGCTCGAGAATTTCATACCGTATCCACTTTCCCCTCTCAATATCATGTACTCTTTTTAAATCCATTGAGTCTGCTCAATGCTGACAGTATGTGCACAGGGCCATGCCCTGGAGCACTGGCAGTCAACAGAGGTTGTAGCCCTGAAGCAAACTGACACCGCCCCTTCCCCAGCAGCCATTAGCTGGCTATAGCTCTTAAGCTATGGCTGGGAATTTAAAGCCCTCCATCCATCCATCCTGGAATCTGTCTGGCTTGATCTGTGCATAAGTCACAGTTACTGTGAGTTCGTGTGTGTGTGTGTGTGTGTGTGTGTGTGTGTGTGTGTGTGTGTGTGTGTGTGTGTTCAGTGGTTCCTACTATCTGTAGAAGAATCATCTGTAGAAGAATCGTCATGGAGGAGGCAGAAAGAGCGGGGTTCTGAATTTAATTTGGGCCATAGACGGTCTCGTCAGACTTGGTCTTGGAGCGGCAGGGGACTAGGTCTTCTTCAGATGTGTCTCCTTCACCCTTACCACACTGGACTATGTTGTGATGGAGAAACCCTTTAAGTCGCTGAGATTTGGGCTTGTCAGTGTGCTGACTGATAGACAATGTGAAACTTTCTCATCAGGAAATTAATTAGTTTTCAAAACACTGCTAACTTCTAAGAAAACAGAACAACACTTTCCTAGAAAGAACTGTCTCCTCTAGTTGGGTAAAGGCATGAACCCTATGCTCACTAGTCAGTGTGACAGGAGACTCTGTGGTCTGTTTGAAAGGCCCCTTGTAAAAGCAGGTAAAAATGGGCACTGAGTTCTCATTCTGGCCTCACCTTAGCTAGATGCACAGCTAATTAATGTGAGTTTTAAAAGCTTATGCTTGGTCTTCTCATTTGTAAGGTGGACCTTGTTTTCAGAACTTCACAGTTACAGTAAGATTCCCATTTTGAAATTACAGGATCAAAGTAATGATAGAGACGCCTGAGAAGGAATGGCCCTTAGCAAGCATGTCCAAGTCTGACAGCCATTAGCTGACTACTTGCCACAGGTTAATGCCAGGTCCCTTGGGCATTGCAGCCTTCAGTCTATATGGTGTATGAATTAGCATATATCACAGTCTACCCTGGGAACACATGGTTGACCTTTTGCCAGACAGATCAGTGATGTCTGCCTGTGAAGTAAACACTGAATGTCCACTCCCAGCACTGTTGAGACAGTCCTAGCATTCACATTTAAATCTTTATTTGGAGAATACAGAAATTCTAAGCTATATTCAAGATCCATTGACAAATGCCTCTGAGGTAGACTTCTGGTATCTTAAAGACTTTCCTTCATTTTTCCTGTCCTGATGGCTAGCCAGCAAAACTTCCCAATTGTGTCTGAGGTAGTTAAGTGTTCCTACCAATTGAGATGTTAGTGATGTCTGTGGGGGTCGAAAATGTGGAACCACCTGATGCTCCAAATGTGCTCTTAAATCCTAGTTAATGCTGTGAGTGGCTTTCTGGTGTCCACTTCAGGTTTAATTCATTTATTTTGTTCCTCTGTTGTCCTGGGGGCTGAATCTAGGGGGTCTGCATGCTACGGAGAACTTTATCACTGGGCTTTCCCAGGCTTCTTGCATACTAGGCAAGCATTGTATCACTGGGCTGTACTTCAGGCTGTATGTTCATTTTAGTTTATATGAATCAAGTTATTATTGGGGGGCTTCTTGTTGTTGTTGTTTTAAATAGGGTCTCTTTAGCCCAGCTGATCTTGAACTTGTAGGAACCCTCCTGCTTCAGCCATCTTGAGTGCTAGGATTAAAGGCATTAGCCACCATGCATAGCTCCCTGTTGAGTTTCTTGGTGAGAGGGTGAGTTTGTACTGAGTACTGCCAGTGTCACCAAGCCTGTGCAGAAACCCCCACTGCCAGGTTTCTTTTCACATTTGCCTGCCTACTTCATCTGGGTTGGCCATAAACAATCCAGGTAAAACTCTTTCTAAACCCTGAAGTGCCATACAGTACTAGTGACAGTGCCATAGGACAATGCTAGAAGCAGCAAACAGAACGTGGGTGCAGCTGGTAGAACAGACTGAGCAATTGTCACCAAGGCACAACGTTCTCAAACATCAAATTTACAAGGCGTTTCCTACATGGAGGTTTATATTTGATTTTTCCCTTAAATGTTGATCAAAAACGAAGATTCAACACACCACAGCCAGGTGGTATTCCAGGCCCTGTCAAACTCCAAGACTCCTGTTGGCATGCAATTGGGAATAGCAATTGGCAGAATAATACCTTCATGGGTTGTGACCCCTTTCTTTGGCGATCACGTGAGTTAGTTTTTGTTTTCTTTTAATTCAGGGTCTTGTACAGCCTGCAACCCAGGCTTCCTCTATTTCCCAAGTGCTAGGTATAGGCATGCACCACCATGTCTTCCTCCAGTGCTTTATTGTGGCCCCTTAGACACAATGTTATTTCCTCCTGGATATCACTTGCTCAGTGAAATGGCTCTTTGCAGGACTCCAAGGTGAAGCCAGATTCTCCTACACCAAGAGGATAATCGTGGGGCCACCAGGACTGTATGGCCTCCTGTTCTCTGGATATTTAATTTCTGCAGAGCTGAATTTATGGAATGGGATGCTATACTGCTCTAATACAGCTTGTCTTAGTGAGGTTTCTATTCTTCAGGTAAAACATGGCCAAAACCAAGTGTGGGGGGAGATGTATACTTCAGTTTACAACTCCAAGGTCACACTCTCGGAGGAAGGACAGGACGGGTACTGAATCAGGGGCCATGGAGGAGTGCTGCTTCCTGGCTTCCTCTCTGTGGTTTGCTGAGCTTGCTTTCTTATAGAACCTGGGACCACCAACTCAGGTGGCACCACCCACATAAATCATTAGTCAGGAAAACACTCCATAGGCCAATCTGATGGAAGCATTTTCCCAGATGAGCTTGGTTTCTATCAAGTTGGCAAACTAAGCAGCACACAGGAAGAAGGAAAAGGCATATCTGCAAGCACAAAGAGGAATAATAGACTGAATTCTTAGGCATATAATCTGCATTAAAGTGTTTTCATCGGTAACAATGAAATTAGGGCCAACTGGGAACAATATACTATAGGAGTCCACAACTGAGGGATGGAAAAGAAATGGGAGAAGCCTGCTGTCGGGTGTGCTTACTGTCTCGAGTCCTTTCTACCCAGGCTCCACACATAGCTGTGTCTGACTATAGGTGGAGACTCGTAAGAAAGAATGGATGCTGTGGTAGACTGAATGCAATTGGCCCCCAGACGCTCACAGTGAGTGGCACTTTTAGGAGGTGTGGCCTTGTTGAAGCAAGTGTGTCACTGTGGGGGCAGGCTTTGAGGTCCCATTTGCTCAAGCTTCGCTCAGTGTAACACAGATTACTTTCTGTTGCTTGCAAGATGTAGGACTTTCAGCATACCGCCATGTCCCACCATGATGATAATGGACTGAAGCTCTGAAACTGTAAGTGAGCCACCACAATTAAATGTGTTTCTTTTGTAAGAGTTGCTGTGGCCATGGTATTTCTTCACAATAGAAACCCCAATTGAGACAGATGGGGAATACTTCTGTTGCTCAAATACTTGTACATTAATTGAAATATATATCAAGCACCTACTATGTGCAAGGCTCTGCTGAGTACTCCATTTGTAAGGGGAAGCAAAGCCAAACATAAGCTTACCTTCCTGCGGCTTGGCATCCGGTAGGGGAGACGAGCGTTAATACTGTCACCTGGTAGCAATAGCTGTGATAGAGGACCTTGTAGTTGGAAGGGATCATCACAGAAATTGACCTGGGAGAGCTTTGAGGAAGTGGTGAAGAAATGCCTTCTCAATATGTAGGAGCTGATACACAGTGGGACGCCTCTTCCTCTGTTCTGCTCCTAATTGGCATTCTCTTCCTCCAGCCACACATGGCACAGGTACACATCCTCTGGAGTAATACTGAACTGTGATTTCAGGGAGGTTAGAGAATGGTGGGCTGGCAGATACATGAGTGTTTACTTCCCAAGACAGCCGTTTACCCTGTTACAGTATCCCAGAGGGAGGCTTTTTTTCTTGGCTGTAACACAAGCCGCATCACTTATGTCATAGAGCTGCATCTGGATGCTTCAGTATCTGAAACACACTGTATCCTAGGACAGTCCCTGGAGCCTCCAATTCCTTTTTCCTTGCCATGGAGTTTGGGGTTTTTCAGATCACTTTGACTTTCCATGGATCTTTAGCTGCTAGAGCAGTTGTATTACACAGATCCTATTATTGTACAAGCCAAGGAAGAGCCACTCCTCCTGGCACCCCTAGAGGCCTCCAATAACAGAACCGTTACCAGCAATACTGCTTAGTGACCTAGGTATTAGTCAGAACCTGGATGTCCTACAGAAATCAAAGTTTTCTCTAGTGATGCAGCTTCCCCTTTAGAAAGGGGTCCAGTTGTTATGACCTTTCCAAGTGAGACTCATGAACTTTGATGTAATGGACTGCACTGACTCATGAGGACACCTGGGAAAGATGATGTAATCTAAGAGACTTCATGGCAGCAGACTCCCTAGATGTCTGAGGTAATTGGAAAATTCAAGGCTGGTCCCTTGGGTGCACATACTTTATCCAACAAGTTTGATAGAAGGTTAAACATTTTCCCAAGTGATATTTGGTTAATTCATGAAAACATACCAAGCAGAGCCAAATGGAAAACAACATGCTATTGTCTCTTCTATGAGCCAAAATCTG